CTAGTGCAAATATACATGTCAACATGGGTCCAGGGATCAAAACATTTAAGAGTTTGTATGAGTTCTGTACCTATCCATTCACAACATAATCATCGTTCTTTCTCCTGCCCTTCTACCAAACTTGACGTCCAAAATAAGATCCAAAAAATTAGTAGCCATTTAGTCCTTAATGTTCCATGGCAGGAAAAATCATACATATTTCATTCTTTAGCACAATCACTGTAGATGTGCAGACAACAAATACGAAAAATGACCTGGGAAAATCTAGAAGATTAAATACTGATGATGTACACTATCAGTTAGTAAACTCTAGATGGACACCTTGAGCTAATTAAGTAAAACCAGAATGAAAATTTCACTATATAAATGCAATATATGCAGAGAAACAGACACTTCATTTCAGGATTTTCACTTTACCAGTGGGAAACCCTCCACAATCATCTTGTTTTCCAAAAGCTGGAGCGTGGATTTTCTCTAACCCTAAACAAAAGAGTGATAGAGCAATCAATTAATTTCAACACAGTAATGAGAGTTCTGTAGTGCAGCTAGACAATCAATCCCTTCTATGTATTGGTTGTAGTCTGTAAACATAGACCAAATAGTATTTTATTCTTCATAGATAGTTCCCTGATGATCAGAGTGGTACCAATAACTGTACACATGGAGAAAAACAATACAGATATGCTAATAGGGAAAAAAAAGAGACTACACATCCGAGGAGGACAGTACAAAGAAGAGATCGATTAGGCTAGAAATTCCCGTCTATTTCTTTTACTTCTGTTGTAATGTCAAAAAGTGACAATCGACACTACACCCAAACTAATCAACTAAGCAAGTTTAGGTTACTACAATTTGAAGCCAAAGGCTCTTAGTGTAGATGAAAAAAAGCAATTATCAACTATCTGTCATGAGTGATGTTTACACAAACAAAAGGAAGCATGTGGCATTCTGTACATAACAAATTTTAATTAGGCAATGTACTATTATGTTTCGAAACCAATATCAATCCTAAGCTTTTCGACCTGGTGAACCCAAAAGAACAATTTCTAGAAAATTAAGCTAAGACAGTGATTGTGTTCAAATTAAGAACCAGTAAGATCAATCCATTGCAACTATCAATGGATTGCTTCTATTCCCCACTGTCCTCACAATTAGTGGTAGCAGTACGTATTGAAGGTTCTCCAACAGTGTGACAAAATAGGAGGAAGGACACATTTAATAAGATGCTTACAATATCACATAAACCATATGAACATTAGGTAAAATAAGAATGATATCATGGCAACTAGGAACACCAGCATAGTGATGTTGACATCTTCAACAATACTAGCCTTTGAGCGTTCTAGAGAGGAACCTAGCTCTGTTTACCATGCTCGTATCTTGCATAGCAAAAGGAAAAAAAAAGAGAAGTACAATTATCAAGAGAAAAGAAGAAAATATAGGCAAGCAGAGAAAACTGAGACAGAATATCATGAAGCCATGAATATGAGCACAAGCAAAAGATCCTGATTCAATCAGACATGATGGAGAAAACATGACAGTGGGAGGGCATGAATATACATTGGCATGGAGTGGGTTAAGCCCAATTCAGTAAACAGGTGGCAGTAGAACTGTTCGCATGAGTGCAGCATTTTTAGAATTAAACGCAATGAGCAATAACTGGCATAAGGTCTAACTAGGAACAGAGTACACAAGGAATAGAACTTACCAAGGTGGCAAGATTGTGGCTTCTCTTGGCACTGCCCTATCAAGACCAGCCAAGGAAATCTATATCTGATAGATGGATTGATGGTCAGCAAGTGAAAGATATTGCACCACAAGTGGGTGTGCTAGTGCCCAAGTGGGATCTGCACAAAAACAAAGAGAAAGAAAAGAGGATAAATAACAATGATGAAAATATTAGCTCTAACCAGAGGAAGCATAATCAATAATATTCAGAGTAAAGTGGATTTTAAAAAATAGGATGGAGATCTGTCATTTGAGAAAACATCAGTTCATACCAAAAGCTGGTGAAACATTGAAAAACACAGCCTTTTCAATGTCTCCAAATACATGCCCCAAAGATGATTAGCAAGTTCAGACCCCACCTGGCCTCCTCAATGGCATGGTGATCATACCAGTGATCTTGATCCACCAATTACTAAACACTACTAACATTACTATCATACCATGTCCTCCTGTTTTGGGGATTTAAATCTAAAAGATGGTATTCCCACTTCCCAGCAGTACAACTATGCATAAGTACAAAATTTTGCAACTATTATCTTTAGATAGGATACAATCCAATTTTCTCACTACGACATATATTCAACGAAAGAATACTGTTAATTTGGGCAAGCAAAATTTAAAATACCTGTATGTTAAATTGTTCTCTAATTCTGTGTCAAGGCATCAGATCATATACATATAAATATAAATTTTAAAAAAAGAGCCATAATCAAGATTAGATTAGCTGTAAATGAATGTCTATAATTTTGTCTGGTCATTTTGAAAATACTAATTCAAGATTGCAATACATTAACATTATAGTAAGGCATTCCCCTTTGCACCTCTGTTTTGTGGAGCCGGTGCAGAAGGTCTACCCAGTGAGGAGGGTAACTTCTTGTCGTAAAGGAACCACATACCTAAATGGGAAATCATCACATTAACAACATCCTAGAGAGCAAAGCAGCTGCTAAACATAAAAAAGGCCACTAAAGAAATTCTAATCATGTACTGACCATTGTTATATGCTCTCAAAAACAACCCTTCTTGGGTTGTCAGGCATCTTATCAACCAACTCCAACCAGAAACAGAGGAATCATTATTTAAGCATACAAACAGTACTCATATCATGGAACCTAATAGTGAAACCAATGTGATAAACCTTTACTGCTTGATATGGAATAATAGAACAACAAAACAAGATGCACAGGAAAGGGATTAAGGCTGGTATAGGGTACCTGACAGACCGGAGGACTCCATCCGAGTAAGGCAAGCTTGGCATTCGACGTGTGTGCAACCAAGAAGTGGCAATCCCACAACCGGGCACTGCACGTCCAAAAACAGAGCACAAAAAGTGAAAATAGAGGGTAGGTTAAAATCTGTCCTGAGTAGCATTAGGGTACCACAAATTGTACAAATAAGGAAAAATGGAAAACTCACAGGGCACATATAGATTACACACTAATGTTTCAGAAACTTGCTGTGCCAAACAACAACCAGTCCACCACTGAAGGCCCTAACACCACAGCCCTACACAGAAATGGCTTCTAGAAATTCAGCATTGCATAAAGAAAAAGAAATGAGCTGTAGTCCAAACCCTGAAGCAAGAAAGAACAAAATAAATCGAAATTAGAGAGATTAGAAATGAAAAGCAGCGCTGAAATATTAAAGGCTAACTATTATATTTGCATGACAAAGGTAAGTTCAGATTTATTTATAACATTTCCTATTCTTGCAGTGCTGCACACAATTTTTAGAAGCCTGACAAAGCAATGATTCCATTTTCACATCAGATACAAGGACCAAAATTACAGAATTAGCATTTAGGCCTTCTGCAAGGCATGAACCTTCGAAATAACATTTAGACCTGCTAAACTTGAACTCTAAAGACTCAATGATCAGCTTACAAATAGAATTCTTAGCAACATATGACGAAATAAACAGAACATGGTAAAGGTCTAAAGGATGATTTTTCTAAATGTCAACACAGAATTCCAGCAATCATGAAATGAACTTGATGAAAACTATTTCATAAGCAAATGCATCATCTTAACCCATTCTACCAAGAAATGTGACCTAGTGTATAGGCTACATAAACCCTGACAAATTCACAAGTTCCTCTGCTCCTGCTAATCGATTGAGCTCCTGAATGTTATAATGTCATGTTACCATAGGAACAACATTGAAAGGTGACAGTGAAATGTTTCAATTTAAATAAATGTGGTTTCAAATGACCTTTCCCTTAGTTATCTGGTATCCATTGTTATTCAATCTGGTAACTGAAGTTGAGCTGCATGCAAACCATTGCATGGTTCAGTTGGCTATGGGGTTTTACCAGAAAATGGATCAATACTGAAATGAAAGAAGTGTGTGCTCTAAATAAAGACCAAGAAAACCAGGCATATTATAAATGCAAAAATCATTTAGATTTAGGCAGTGCCACAAGCAAGAACCCTGAATTCTATTTACGTGGACAGGGTCTAACCCCACCATATAGTCTAATCGCAAATAATGTCCTGTGAACACAAATAACTAGTTATTATACTACTAAATTGTTGTAATAATTCCAATACTAATCCACAACAATAGCCTCATCTAAACCATATTAAATCTGAATAACTCATCCAAATCGTTACAACATTCTATAATGAGATGAGATCATATCAATCCTGAGTAAGGTGTAAAATTCCATCATTACAAACGTACATATGGTGCATTAATTAGTAATGGAATACCCTGAAGCTGAACTTTCCATGAAATAGTCGGCCTCAGGAATGAAGATTAGGAGCTAAAATTTGTATTAAATAATCATTGTTGGTAATTAACAAGATCACTAAAGCATCAATCAATATACGCAATGAATGAACAAGTGAGCAGCGGGAGAAAATTCAAGCCTTCAATATTGGTAAATATGTATGCATTGTTATAATTTTGTAGTTGAACAAATTACAAATTAAGCAAAGGGAGCATTGTTTCACCTTTGTGCAAAATCCAAGACGAGGATGTGGGCAGCACCAGCCCAGCAACAGATGGGTCATTACAACAACGAGTATTCTGTATACTGTAGCTGAGAGTTGCTTCAAGGCTTGAAGCATATGCACGTCACTAGCGGCAGGCTGGTGGGGGATGGATCCTTCGAATTCCATGGCCTAGTGCAATCCTACTTCAGCTAAGCTACTCGCCATTTCCTAAATCCCAATAAATAAGAAAAATCAGCTAAACAGGGTTTATGAACACATTTACAGAATAAGGATACAATAATTTATTTTGAAAGGTTAAATTTTAGGAGTATTTATTTAATTAAAAATCTGCAGGCAGAAGTAGAGGAAATCAACACCAATGTACACAAAATGAGCTAAACTAAACAAGAATAGTACTTTTTTTAACGTGAATCTTGAGGCTTGCACCACATCCACAAACTCACCTTGCTGCACTTGAAGAGGAGCTCCTGGCCGCGACCTGCGCCGACAATCGAAGACTTGCAGGGAACACATCCTACACTTGAATCATCAAATCGAATCAAGAAGGGGAAGGGTGAGGGGTAGGAGATGGTGCAAACGCCGAGATGGGGAAGGGGGTCTGGGGAAGGGGCACCTGGATCTGCCAGCAGTGTTGGAGGAGCACACGCAGGAGAGGCGGTGGCGGTGGGCTGACAGAGGCAACAGCATCGCCAGGTGAGTTGCCACTCCTTTCTCCGGGAGTTCGCGGCAGGAGCTGACGATGAGTCATGACGCGCTGCAAGCACACTAACTGATATGTGCCCTATGTTCCAAATCTGCAAAAGAAAAAATACAAGCAATCAAATTAATCAATTTTTTATGCATATTAATCAACAAACTATACTACTGGATCTCGCAAAAGATCAAGATTGGGACACAATTTTTTATCCACATTAATCGATGTTTCACCTGATGCTGGGTGTGGTGCGGCCGGTCATGCATTGATTTGAATAAAAAAGGAATGGAAATTGATTTGAATTTGGGATTTACAAGGAAGAACACACGTTACCTGGAAACAAGCAAGCATATACGGTGGGATACTACTCGCCCTGACGGAGTCAGGGGAGAACTCGACTCCAGGGCTGGCTGTACCCTGCCAGGGAGCCAAGCGTGCGGCAGAAAAGCGGTGCCCATGTGTGTGAGGCGAAGCTGCCACCAAGTGACATGGCGACAGCGCCCAGTGCTGCGGCGGCCGACGACGTCCGTGGCCTAGCCAGAGGCGAGGATGGAGGCATAAATATTAAAATCTGTTGGATCTGGACGGAGGTAGGAAGGGATCGAGCTACGGAAGAGGAAGGGGTCGATTTGCTCGTTCCTCAACCGGCTCGAAGCTCGCAAGGGGGCGTGGTGGCTCGGCCTCCTGCCTGCTCTGCCTACTGCCGGGCCGGCCACCTTGCCTGAGGTCGACCGGATCTCCGCCGCCTACTCAGTTCGCCGCTCCAACAGGATGAGGCGCCGCCTCCCCGCGCCCCCCCTCCCCGTGGTCAACCGGATCTCCGCCGCCTACTCAGGGCACGTTTAGATGCCGAACTTTTTTGGTTTTGGCACTATAGCACTTTCGTTTCTATTTGGCAATTAGTGTCTAATTATGGACTAATTAGGTTCGAAAGTTTCGTCTCGCGATTTCTCACCCAACTGTGCAATTAGTTTTTTTTCGTCTACATTTAGCACTCCATGCATGTACCGCAAGATTCGATGTGATGGGTACTGCGCAAAAATTTTGGGGAACTAAACAGGCCCTCAGTTCGCCTCCCCCCCCAAAAAAAACTCGATAGGATAATGAGGAGTTGGGAGCGGGGGGACCGCACGGGAGCGCCCGTGGTTGGCTCGGGTCCAGGATATGGGGTCGGTGATCTTCCGGACTCGCGTAGTTAGGGCATGTACAACCAGAGACAGAGGTCGTCTCTAAGATACTAAAATCTGACAAAAAGACAATTAAAAAGATATGTCATACAACCCAAAGACAGAGGGTCGTCTACAAGTAGTTTAATACTTTGCATGAGCTCAAGATCAATCATGAATATCAATTTGTATACGATTGTGTGGCCGTTTGATGAAAGACAGTTCAAGAATAACTAAGATGAAATGACTAGAAGCATTCAGAAAACTCACTAGTACATACTAACGGGAGACATGCAGTGCACACTTCATGTGAAATGAGCACATGCAGAAACTGCAATCTAACTAAAACTTAAAATTACAGAATCAAAAGTTGACAGTACACCATCCATCGAATTATCAGAAATTTAACTGACACTGAACAGTACTGAAACTTGACAGTACAGAATCACCATCATTCAGTTTCAGAAATTAAGAAGAAACTGAACACTACTGAAACTTAAAATAAACTTAATGATGTCCATCTCATTACACCTTCACGGTGATAGTTCAACTGAACAAAAGGGACTTCAGTATAGTAGAATGCAGTCCAGAACATACAAGAAGAATGCCATCCTGTGCATTGTTATGGTCAGCAAAGTATACCAACGCCGCGGCAAAGCTAGTGGCTGAAGGTGGACCGCGGCAGGAGCGCACCAGCTGTCAGGAAAAAAAATTAACTGGGAAACATGATTACACTCACTAATGCTTCAGTTACGCATGGGAGACATTTAACTGGGAAATTCAGATAGCAGTAACATGGTCACACAAAAATTTAACTGGGAAGCATTCAGATAGCAATCACATGTTCACACAGAAAGATAGCAGAAATTTAACTGGAAAGCATTCAGATAGCAGTCACTAGTAGATGACGTTGAGATAATAACTAGTAGATAACAGATAGATCACACCATCAGGTAGGTCACAACTCATCCTCTGCATAGAAAAATTGTAGATCATAGCATCACGTAGATCACACCATGTCCTGCAAAATTGAGAGATAATTCTTAAATCAAAATTGCAAGATGAAGTCAAGAGCACTAGCTCTGTTCAGATAGCAGTTTCACATAGCAGTTCTGTAAATCAAAGAATAGAAGTTGAATAACTTTTTTTCACAGGACAAACACACATCAGTTAAAAACTTCTTTTACTGGTAATTTTTGGGTCCTCTTTTGAATTGCAGACATCTTAATTGGAAACCTTTCCTAGCTATTAGTACTTTCGTAGCAGGTGACAACAACTTAATTGGCGGACTTCCTGCTAATGATTTACTCACAGACTTAATTGAAATACTCACAGACTTAATCGAAATAATCTTCTATAGTGCACTCAGGAGTAGATAGCACTCAGGTAAATAGTAAATAGTAGATAGAACCTTTATGAGAGGTTCAGGTTGCTCAAATTCTTCATGGCAGGTGTAGAGGTGTACAGGTTGCTCAAGTTACCTGTTCAGTCACTTTCAGGAAAAAGGGCCTTCCTAAGACACTTCATGGCAGCAACTCGCTCCGCCTTTTCCACATCAGACATTGAACTTGTATCTTGTAAGATGAGGCTGTTATAAGCCTCCATCATCTTTGATTCTTTCTCAAGCATCTTTCCCTTTTTGGTCTCTTGTGCAGTAAGGTGGGCAAGTTTTGTGATCTCAAGCTTCTCAGATGATAGCTTCTGCTGCAGTTCCAATATCTTCATACGGTTTGCATTTGTTTCCTCCTGGAATTTGCCTAATTTGTCTAGATCAATAGCAGATTCCTTTGAGTTACCATTATCTTCACTGCTGGAGCCTTTTGACTTGCCTTTTGCAGCTAGAGCTGCCTTTTTAGCTGCCTTCTGACCCATTGGTCGATTTGGCATCTCTTCCAAACTTTCATCATTTTCCTGATCCCTTTCTTCTTCAAGGTGAAATGATTTCCTTTTACGTGCATTCCTCAGCTCTTCATTGTATGTTTTCCACTTTGACACTTCTCGACAAATTTTCCAAACCTCAATCCCAACAAAGGGTCCTAGTTTTGCATCTTTGTTGTCCTCCACATAGAACTTGTGGGCTGCATCAATCCACATTTGATCAGAATATCCACTTGTAAATACTTTGCGAGCCTTTACATAAGCACATTCAAAGAGGTCTGTCCACCTATTAATCTTATGCCATCTATCCTTGCATTGCTTCATATTTCTCTTTCGAAGTGGTGGGGTAGTCTTGTTGTAGGATTCAACAACCTCACCCTAATACTGGTTACCACCCTTATCGGCTCCACAGGTAGAGTCTGTTGAATGTTCTATCCAAGCGCTCATCAATCTAAGATCCTCTTCCTCTGTCCATAGGATCCTCTTCTCAGTCCTAACATTGTCATTGTCAAGTAATATTTCTACTTCAGGCTGTGAACTTGCATCATTGTTGGTGGACAGTGGTCTATTCAAAGGGCTGTTGTGAATAGGTGCACCAACCAAATGAATGTTGTGTGGCTGATTTTTGAAGTAGCTCATGAAACCACCAGATGGACGTGGATCTTTGTCCCTGCAGGAAACAAACAATAACCACTATGGCTTTGAGTTGCAGAATATAGCACAGTACAAACATCTATCCAATATGTTGCAGAATATAGCAGAATCATCTATCCAAAAAGTTGTAGAATATAGCACAATCATTTATCCAATATATGTTATTCTTCTACTGGATCTTAAACAATGATTGTAAATTGAAAAAAATCACAAACCAGGAGAAGAGGGATTACCATGATACAGGAGAAGAGGGATCACTGCCGGCCGCATCAAACCAGGCTTGAGACGGTGAATGAGGGAACGGAAATCCATCTATGCTGGGGAAGCCACCAACGCTGGGTCCATCAATGGAGGATGGCGCCGTTGCCGCGCCCTTGCTGACACCACTGGTGGTTGGGCAGGTCCCTGCTGCTGCTGAGCTGCCACCACGTCCGAGAGAGCGGGCCGTCAGCGCCGAGCTGCCACCACGACCGAGAGAGAGAGCCGTCGGCGCCGAGAAGCCACCGTGACTGAGGGTACGGGCTGGGGCCGCCGCCGCCGCATCCAACGCCGACGGTGTGGATGCCTTCTTCTTCCTAACTGTGGCCGACATGGACATCTCGAGAGTGCGAGGTGGAGATGGATGAGGCGGATTGGGGGAACCGGGATGAGGCGAATTGGGGGAACCGGGATGAGGCAGAGATATGGCGGGTGGAGATGGATTGGGCGTGGAAAACTCCCGTGCGCGCCCAAATCTTCTGCCTGCGCGCGCCAATGACTCCTACCCATGCGGGATCCGAGCGCACCGTCGCCTATAGGAGACGAGGCCGTACAATGGAGCCACGGTCGTCTGTTCCGCATCGGAGCACGGGACAGGGCCGTCGCCTCGCGAGGCAACGATGTGCCCATCTCTCGGCTGAGCTGGGGGGTTTTCTGAAAAAGGGCCATCACCGAGACGAGAAAAAGACACCCGTTGTATGTGCCCTTATTATTATTCAGTATCCAGCATAATATATATATATACTCCGTCCATTCCAAATTATAAGTCGCTTTGACTTTTTTGGTACATCTATTTTTCTACGTATCTAGATATAATAATATGTCTAAATACATAGCAAAATGGATGAACCAAAAAAGTCAAAACGACTTATAATTTGAAACGGAGGGAGTATATAAGTATATAAGTATATATATATATATAATTTTCTACTCCCATGGAGTGGTTACTCCTATGTGTATATCTCTATATTTAGGGCATATATGACCCGACGAAGTGTATGTAGATAGAGTATATCATCATACTAGACCATCTAGGGTACTATGTATGACAAGTATGTATGTATACTTAGAGTATATGGTTATACTTATTTTATATGCTACTATCATAGTATTATATAATATATTAAAAAATATGTGCTCTTTTGAATTTTTTTCACATAGTAAAGATCTGAAGTATCTTAATATTAGTATGTTAATATACTCAAATTGATATATAAGGATGTACACATACGCAACGTGATTTATTGATTATGGGAGTAACTACTCCTGGGAGTATATAAAATGCACCCTATATAGGAAAATTATTTTATACTCCCAGGGAGTAGTTACTCCCATGTGTATATCTCTAGATTTAGGGCGTATATGGCCTGACGAAGTGTATGTAGATGGAGTATATTATCATACTAGACCATTTAGGGTACCATGTATGACAAGTATGTATGTATATTTAGGGTATATGATTATACTTATTTTATATGCTACTATCATAGTATTATATAATA